TGCGCTTATATCCGGGGTGATACGGTATATCACATTTGGTTTCAACTTTTTGGAGACTCGTGTGTTCAGTGGTGTCATCTCCACACCAGGGTCATCCCTAGGTTGGGAACCTGCCTGATGCATCAGATGGCGTGGTTTTTTCTGCCTGATGCATCAGAAGTTCCTTTAAAACATTTCTGTTGAATCAAGAAATTTTAAAATTCAATTTAATTTCTGATTGATTTTCTTAGAGCCCTCCTCATTTCACAGTGTTCTGTACCTTACAAAGGAATTACAAAGAAGAATGGCCACTTTGGGACTCGAACTCGTATGCTCAACATAGTGAAGCCAATCGCTATAAGAAACTAGAACGAGAATGAATGCATTGAATAGAAGTTGGGTACAAGTACTAACCCTAATTGGGTTGTACCCCTTATGGGCTACCCCACTATAGCCTACACAAAGTAACCACTATGACATTCTGACACACCCCCATAGGCAAAGTGGGGGAGAACAAGTGGTCACAAGACCAGTCAAGAAAAGCAAAGCAAGCTCGGGGTGGATCAAGAAGTCACCACACATTCCGAGCACAAGCAAATGGCCACAAGGCTAGTTCACATGCAGGAACAAAAAGTACAGTAATCTTACCCTAGCAAGTGTAAGCATGCAGGTATATATATATAAAGATCATAGTACAAGCAAATTCACACAGTGAGCAAGTGAGGCAAAGTAGGCACAAGGCCTAAAATAGTACAGAAACGCTAATGATCACCAGGCTGAAGTGCCTTGGTGAATATATCAGCAGTGTTGGCCCGATTGGGCACGTACGCAAGACGAAGCTGACCACGCTGCTGCAACTCTCAAGCAAGGAAGTATCGCAGAGCGATGTGCTTCGTTCTGTGCTCCAGTCTGTGCTCCTGACACAAGGCAATCATGGTCTTGTTGTCTACGTACGGAAATGGAGGCGAACGAGGCTGCTCTCCCAAGTCAGTCAGCAGGTAGGTGAGCCAACGTAACTCCTGTGCAGCCATGGCCCCTACGTAGATCTCAGCCTCACAACTGGAACCGAGAACTGAAGACGAGCGGGTAGATTGCCAGGAAACAGAGCCGGAACCGAGGCTGAAGGTGTAACCCTGCGACGACCGCTACGTAGCCAAGTCGTCAACCCAAGAAGCGTCTGCGTGTCCAGTGAGGACAGCTGGACCCCGTCCTCCAAGCACGAGCTCCATGCCCAAAGTACTACACAAGTAGCGCAACACCCTCTTAGCGGCCTCCCAGTGCTCTGGTTGGTGTCTCCCGGGCGCAACGTAGCGTGCCAAGATGCTAAGAGGTTAGGCAAAGTCAGATCGAGTGCAGGTCATCAGGTACATGAGGCAGCCCACAAGCTCTGGATATGGGCCACTCGGCTCTACGGACTCGTCCAAAGGTGGAGCTGAGAGCGAGTGACCGGTAGGCAGAGGGATAGACTAAGGCGAGGAGTACCGGAAGCCAAGGCACTGAAGGACCTGGTGCACCATGTGTGACTAAGTCAGGGTGATGGTGCGCCGTGCTCTGTCCCGGGTGATCTGCAAGCCAAGATAGTTGCGCAGCTCACCCAGGTCAGTGCAGGTGTGTCTCTTCTGCAGCTCCGACTTCACAAGGGCCAGTGCCTCAGTGTCAGTAGTGGCAAAGACCAAGTCGTTGACGTACACGAGGACGTAGAACGGCGGCAGCGAAGTGTCGGTTCGTAGAAACAGCGACGGGTCAGCAGTCAAAGGAGCAAACCCTAGAGTCGCAAGCGTAGTCCTCAGTGTGTCGTGCCAGTCGCGAGGCGCCTGGCGGAGACCGTAGACTGGCCACCGGAGGCTCCAGTGGGTACTTGCAGGAAACAACCTAGTGAAGCCAGGTGGGCGGCGCAGCCAGATCTCCTCGTGCAGGCTGCCCTGTCAGAAAGCTGTGCTGAAGTCAAGAGAGTGCAGCTCGTAGTCACGCTGAGCGGCGACGGGTGCAGCAGAATTCGAAGAGTGGTCATCTTTGGGGTAGAGGAGAAGGTATGGAAGAAGTCAACTCCCTGTCGCTGAGTGAAGCCTCGTGCAACGTAACGAGCCTTGAAGACAGGCGGAGAACCCGGCGGTCGCTTCACCCTGAAAATCCACATGCCATCGACTATGTTCGCCCGAGAAGGGGGAACTGCATCGACGTAGGTGCCTGTGGACTTCCAGGATGCCATCTCGGCATCCATGGCTGTCTGCAACTGAGAGGAGTAGGGACCCGTAATCGCCTATTCGTAAGAGCGTGGTGCCGGGATGTCTGGTGCATCCGGGTCTCTCTCAGGGGCAAGCAGCATGGCCACGAGATGAGGTACAACAGCTGCAAGGCACTCAAAGTCCTCCTGCCTATCCTCATGGACGTCCGTGCTAAGAGCACACTCACCCCCGATGGACGGAGGACACTCAGACTCATACTCAGCAACAAGACTAGTGGCGTAGTCGAGACGACAGGCAGCAGGAAAGTCAACAAGCTCAGCAACTTGGGCAGACGCAGCAGTGGACTCAAAAGAAGGGTCGGTGACAACAGTGGCGAGGAGACAAGAGACACTGGGACTGGCAGCACGAGCTAGGTCAGACTCAGGGTCAGGAATGGTAGGAAGAGAGGACTCAAGAGGAGGCGGCAGAGGAACGCGCAATGGAACAGAGGAAGGACGAAGTGCCATAACGTGGGTGCCGGGGACAGGAGGAGGACGCGGACGAGGAACCTGACGACCAGTGCAAACAGCACAAATAGGAGAGGAAAGACGAGACTCAGGCTCACGACGCTCTTTAAAAGAGTCTGTCTGCTCAGCGTAAGGGGAAGAAGCATGCAATGGGGAGTCTGGCGACTGGCGAGGTGGTGGACTGAGTAAGCTGGGAGGAAGGCCAGTAGAAGACGGGAGACTAAGAACCTGTCAAAGGACCGAGTCAGGTGGCGGCAAAGACGATGGCTGCGGCAGAAAAAAAAAACGGGCGCCGCTGCACAGTGCATCCAGCACCTGTACCGCCAGACACAGCACCCCCAGCGCCAGCACCTCCAGCTCCAGGGTCAACAGCTCCATTGCCTCCAGTCCCAGCGCATCCAGTCCCAGCGCCTCCAGTGCCTCCAGTTCCAGGGTCTCCAGCTTTAACTCCTCCAGCTCCAGCGCCCCCAACACCACCAGCCCCGGCAGCTTCAGTACCCCTAGTACAAGCACCTCCATGACTAGCAGTTCCAGCACCTCTGGTACCTCCAACACCTCGAAGGCGTGTGCGCAGAGCAAACAACTCGCGCTGCTGCTCCAGGGAGAGAGGCTTCGGCCGGGGAGACAGTCGTGGCAAGGCACCCGCAGGACCTCCAGAAGAAGCAGTACCCCGAGGCTCAGCACCCCCAGACTCCGCACCCTCAGACTCAGCACCCCTAGGCTCCGCACCCTCAGGCTCCGTACCCCCAGGCTCCGCACCCGGTGGCTCAGCACACCTAGGCTCCGCACCCCCAGGCTCAGCACCCCCAGACCCAGCACCCTCAGACTCAGCACCCTTAGGCTCCGCACCTGCAAGCTCAGCACCCCCAGGCTCCGCACACACAGTCTCAGCACTCCCATACGCAGCACCTCGAGGACCTCCAGACGCAGCACCTCGAGCAGCACCTGAGTCTACAGCGACCTCAACAGGCACAGTACCAGGAAGTGGGTCTACCTGAGACACACCTGAGGGAGCAGGACCCTGGGGGGGGAGGGGGTCTACCGGAGGGGGGCCTGGAGCAAGGAAGAGCGGCGGGGGTGGGAGAGGGGTAGAGCGGTAGGGGGAGAGACGGTAAAAGGGAACCGACTCGTCAAACGTGACATCCTGAGAGGGAAAGACACGGCACGAGGTGGGGTGGTAAAACTGCCAGCCAGGCGCGTCAGGGGGAAAGCCAAGGAAGACGCAGGGAAAAGCGCGGGCGGAGAGCTTGTCCGCGGACGTATCGCGAAGTAAGTCACGAGATCCCCAGACCCGGAACACCGACGCATCGCCAACCTTCCCTGTCCAACACAGTGTAGGCGAGGTCTCTGGCAAGGAGACACGGGGCCAGAGGTTGAGCTGATTTGCAGTGTACTGGACCGCAAATGGCCACAACAAATAGGGAGCAGCCGCATGGATCATGGAGGTACGAGCGGCCTCCATGACTAAGCCAATGCGGCGCTCAGCAATCCCATTTTGCTGCGGGGAGGCCGGAAGCGTGAACGACTGGAGAATGCCGTCCCCACGACAAAAGTCTCGCAAGAGGTCGGAGGAGAACTCACCACCTCTATTAGAGTGCACATGTCAGAGTACGCTCGCGGAGCTGGAGACGGACTACGCGGATCCAAGGGATCAAGACATCAGGGACCTCACCCTTGCTGCGCAAGGGGAAGACCGTGGTGTAACGCGTGTAGTTGTCAACAACCAGCAGAAAGTAGCGCTCGCGGCCCTGTCCACTGACGCGGGTTGGGCCCCATACATCCAAATGGAGAGTCTGCAGGGGAGCGGTCGTCGGGGGAAACGAGGAGGAGTGAGGAGTGGCGCGCTGCCGCCCCTCGACGCAAGGAAGGCAGGGCGGGGCAGGTGAGGGAGGGAGGGGAGGCAGAGACCTGGGAAGACCAGAAACAAGGAGGCGGGAGTGCATGCCACGAAGGCGTGGCAGGGAGGGGTGACCAAGGCGGTGGTGCCACAGGAGATTCTGGTGCGACAGGAGGCGAGACGAGTAGGGGGCTGCTACCGGACCTGATGCGGACACCTGAGCAGACGCAGCTACCTGAGGAGGCTCGGTAGTCACTGTGTACAGATTCGACCCAGACCAACAAGTGAACGTGGCCAGGTGACAGCCCGTCCGTGTACACGTGCAGATCGACATACGCTGACCCCCAGGAGTGGTGGTAGTGACCATCGCATCCTGGAGGGCAGCGGTACTGACATGTACGCATGGCGGCCGTGTGCCTGGCAGGGGTTGACTTTGAGTCAACTCAAATGCCATGGGTCCAGGTTGGAAAGGGGCGGTGGTGTTCGCCTGAATCACGTCTGCCTCGCCAGCACTGCCATGTACGCATGGCGGATGTGTGCCTGGCAGGAAGGTGCCGCGAGGGGAGGGGGGGAGAGAGGGAAGGAGAGGGAAGATAGAAGGGAAAGAGCGGGGGAGATAGGTGAAAGAGGGGGGGAGAGAGGGGAAAGAGGGGGGGAGAGAGGGGAAAGTAGGGGGGAGAGAGGGGAAAGAAGGGGGAGGGAGAAGAAAGAAAGTGGGAGAGAGGGGAAAGAAGGGGGGCGGTGTTTGGGAAGAGAGAGAAAAGGCGGGGGAGATGGGGAGAGAGGAGAAAGAGGGGAAAGGTGGGGGAGAGAGGGGAAAGGTGGAGGAGAGAGGGGAAAGGTGGGGGAGAGAGGGGAAAGGTGGGGAGAGAGGGAAAGAGGGGGATGGGAACGCAGAGAGGAAAAGGGGGGGGTGGGGAGGGAGGGTGGGGAGGAGGGGGGGGCGGGGTGAAGGGTGGAAGGAGGGGAAAGGAAGGGGGGATAGGGGAGGGGGGAATAGGGGAGGGGGGGCACAAGAGCGATGCAGTGGTCAGCACAAGGGAAGGCACATGGTTGGGTGGGTGGTGGAGTGCACGCCTGATCGCCCACGCCTGCACGCTTGCATCCCTGCATGCCTGGGGCGGATGCGGGGAAAGCGAAGGGGAAAGCGGATACAGGGAGGGCAAGGAGGGGAAGGCATGGGTGGGTGGTGGACTGCACGCCTGATCGCCCCATGCGTCCCTCCCAGCTCTCCCTGCTCTCCCTGCTCTGGCGGGAAAGAAACGCAAGAAAGGAGTCCGCCCTAACTGGTGAGCGGGCGAGCGGGGCGGGCGGGGTTAGCTGGGAAACGAGCGGCCTAACGCGTCACGACGCTGTAACGCGGACAGGTACCCGCGTTTCGCTTCGAATCCGTTTCTCTAGACTCGGAAATTTGGTGAAAGATACTAGCTCAAGCGGCTAACCAAGGAAAGTCATTCTCGATCTCAAAGCATGGCTTAAAACAGATTTCGCGTATTATCGCGTATTATCGTGAACTGTCGCAAACTGTCGCCTGGGGCGTTGTCAACCGTCGCAAACGTCAGCGCCTGGACATTTCGAAATGTCTAAGAACAAGGGGCATTGCTAACCCAGACAATAACGCGATGAATTTCAAGTTTGATCGACGCGGAAGCAAACACGTGGGGCGTGACGCCCGCGTCTCTGGACGTCTTAAAGCTCACGCGCCGCGCGCACACGTACGTGTAGTCGGCCGCGGATCTCTCGCTCGCCTCGCAGCTTCACGTAGATTCGCTCGTCGAGACTCAATCTAATCAGATCCAGCGGCTCCTTCACTGTCACGTCCTCCGTCGCCGTCGCCGCCATCCCCGCAGCTCACGCCCGTCGCAAATCAATTCGAAAATCGTTTCCGTCCGTCGCAAATCACTGTGCCAATCGTGCTAAATGGTTATCGCGTGGAGCCTCCTGGCCGGCTTGGTAATGCAGTTTTGCTTTTTGGGTTGCGAAGCAACCCTTAAAGCGACGGTGCACATTTGCCACCCAAAACGGCGAACTGTTACTGCGGATGGAAAGTGTCCGCACGAAATCCTGGTTTTCGCCAGCCAGCACTTTCGCGCTGGCAAGCCTGGTTAAAAAAAAAAAACTTCTGAACCCAACACTGCCAAAAGTTGCCCGTCGCTTTAACGATCAATTTTGCCAAATTTTATTTTCATATTTATTGTCTTTTTTTAATAAAATATGAAAATAAATTTCGTAAACTATAGTACCCTTCTCAAACTGTTGAATAGTTTTGAATACTGTTCACAGTATATTAAACCATGTAATCTTTTTTTGTCAGTGGTTTTGTGCAAATATGCTGTACTATTTTGTACTAGTATGTTTTACTATTAAATGTTGTTGTGGTAATGATGAATAGATGCATGATGCATAAATAATGCCATGAATCATGATGCACATGCATGCACATAATAAAATGCGTAACGGTTAATGACCCAAAAACTAAGCTACCGCCATCCCCTGCCTAGCATAGGGGGAGGCCAATAGCAAAGATTTTGAATAATCAACTGTCACATAAAACAACACAATCTGTGAAGTCTAAAAAAAATGTCAACCCTATCAAATCCAGTTCGAAGTGATCGCATACGAGTCACTGAGTGCGCCAATGAACCTTTTGTTAAATGATAGGCCTGGGCCTTTTTATTAAAAATCATAGACATGCATTGTTATTGCAAAGTATAAATTTACACATACATACACACGCAAATACACACATACATACGTACATACATACATACAGACTCACATATGTACGTATACGTATACACGCACTTACAAAGGCATACACCAAACATAGTTACTCACACAAGCAAACACATTCACACAATCAAAAGCACGAACACCGGCAAACCAGCAAAAAACGCGCGATAATAAATAACATGCAAATCAACGTTAGTAGATCAACGTTAAATAACATGATAAATTCCCATCAGTGACCAATACACATTTTCCAGATTGAAATCGTATTTCTGACCAGCAAGGCTCCTGAGAAATGTCAAACTTATATGCTATAGTCTGTTTAGGCTGTAGTGGGGTAGTTCTTACAGGGTACAACACTTTTAGGTTTCCTATATGTACCCACCTGCTTTCTAGTTCAGTCATTCATTCCCTCACATTCTAATATGGTATTCTGAGCAGGTTCCCTAGTGGGAACGTTTTTTTTAAGGGCCCACCACGATTTTTTTTTTCCTGCCCTGCCCGAAGCGCGCATCGCGCCCTAGCCCGTCACGGCCCGTAGCCCTTGTGGCCCCTTGCCCGTCGCGGCCCCTAGCCTGTCGCGGCCCCTTGCCCGTCGCGGCCCCTAGCCTGTCGCGGCCCCTAGCCCGTCGCGGCCCCTAGCCTGTCGCGGCCCCTAGCCAGTCGCGGCCCCTAGCCCGTCGCGGCCCCTAGCCCGACGCGGCCCCTAGTGCCGACGCGGCCCATTACTGCCGTCGCGGCCCCTCAGGCCGACGTGGCCCCTACTGCCTACGCGACCCCTGCGGCCGTCGCGGCCCATTCCTGCCGTCGCGGCCCCTCATTGCCGTCGCGGCCCCTCAGGGCGACATGGCCCCTGGTGCCTACGCGGCCCCTGCGGCCGTCGCTGCCCCTCACTGCCGTCGCGGCCTCTACTGCCGACGCGGCCACTGCCGCTGTTGCGGCCCTTGCTGCTGTTGCGGCCCCTCCTGCACGTAGCGGCCCCTGCTGCCGTCGTGGCCCCTGCTGCTGTCGCGGCCCCATCTGCCACTGCGGCCCCTGCTGCCGTCACGGCCTCTGCCATCACGGCCCCTGCTGCTGTCGCGACCTCTGCTGTAGCGGCCCCTGCCGTCCCGGCCCCTGCTGTCGCGGCCTCTGCAGCTGCGGCGCCCCCTCTGCTGTCGCGGCCCCTCTGCTGACGCGGCTCCTACGGTCGCGCCCCTGGTAAGCCCCGCGACCTATCCCCCCCTGCTGCGCCGCGCCGCCCAGCCAAGCCGAGCCGCCCGGCCGAGCCGCGCCGCCAAGCCGAGCCGCGCCGCCCACCGAGCCGCGCCGCTCTGTCGAGCCGCGCTGCCCAGCCGAGCCGCGCCGCGCCTACCGAGCCGCGCTGCCCTGCCGAGCCGAGCCGCGCTGCCCCTTTGCCTGCTCTGCTTCTGCTGCCACTACTGCTGCTGCTGCTGCTGTTACTGCTACTGCTACTACTGCTACTATGGCTAGCCCTACTGTTCTCACGTTTGATGCTGAGGGGCGTGTGTGAGAATTAACGAGAAGAATGAATGAACTAGGAAACAGGTGGGGTACAAGTAGCGAACACAAAAGTGTTGTATGTGAGAATGATAGACGAAAGAATGAATGAACTAGAAATGAGATGGGTACATATAGGAAACACATAACTGTTGTACCCACTAAGAGCTACCCCACTACAGCCTAAATAGACCATAGCAGATATAAGTTTGACACACCCCCATATGCAAAGTGGGGGAGAACAAGAGGTCACAAGACCAGTCAAGAAAAGCAAAGCAAGCTCAGGGTGGATCACAAAGTCACCACACAGTCTGAGCACAAGCAAAGGGCCATAAGGCCAGTTCACATGCAAAGTTATATAAAGGAAAGTAAACAGTACAGTGAATACAACCTAGCAAGTGTAAGCATGCAGGTATGAGTATATAGAGTACAGTACAAGCAGAGTCAAGAAGTCAACAAGTGAGGCACAGTAGGTACAAGGCCTAACACAGTACAGAAACGCTGATGATCACAAGGCTGAAGTGCCTTGGTGAAGACATCAGCAGTGTTGGCCTGAGAGGCCACGTAAGCAAGACGAAGCTGGCCACGCTGCTGCAACTCTCGAGCAAGGAAGTAGCGCAGAGCAATGTGCTTCGTTCTGTGCTCCAGTCTGTGCTCCTGACACAAGGCCAGCATGGCCTTGTTGTCGACGTACAGAACTGGAGGAGAACGAGGCGCCTCTCCCAAGTCGGTCAGCAGGTAGGTGAGCCAGCGAAGCTCCTGTGCAGCCATGGCCCCAGCGTAGATCTCAGCCTCACAACTGGAGCTGAGAACAGAAGAAGAGCGGGTAGACCGCCAGGAGACAGAACCGGAGCCAAGGCTGAAGGTGTAACCCTGTGACGACCGCTGCGTAGCCAAGTCGTCAACCCAGGAGGCGTCAGCGTGACCAGTGAGGACAACTCGAGCCCGTCCTCCAAGCACGAGCCCCATGCCCGATGTACTGCACAAGTATCGCAACACCCTCTTTGCAGCATCCCAGTGCACCTTTCGGTGCCTGCCGGGAGCCACGTAGCGAGCCAGAAGGTTGAGAGGGTATGCGAGGTCAGGTCGTATGCAAGTCATCAGGTACATGAGGCAGCCCACAAGCTCTGGATACGGGCCACTCGGCTCTACGGACTCGTCCGAAGGTGGAGCTGAGAGCGAGTGACCGGTAGGCAGAGGAGTGGACTGTGGCGAGGAGTAGGTGAAGCCGAAGCGCTGAAGGACCTGCTGCACCATGTGTGACTGAGTCAAGGTAATGGTGCACTGTGCTCTGTCCCGGGTGATCCGCAAGCCAAGATAGCTTGTGAGCTCACCCAGGTCTGTGCACGTGTGTCTCTTCTGCAGCTCGGACTTCACGTGGGCGAGTGCCTCCATGTCAGCAGTAGCAAAGACAAGGTCGTCTACGTACACAAGAACGTAGAACGGCGGCAGAGTAGCGTCAGTGCGTAGAAACAGAGAAGGGTCAGCAGTGGAAGGAGCAAAACCAAGAGCAGCAAGAGTCGTCCTGAGCGTGTCGTGCCACTCACGGGGCGCCTGGCGGAGACCGTAGACTGGCCGCCGGAGGCTCCACTGGGTACCAGCAGGAAACGACCCAGTGAAGCCAGGTGGGCGGCGCAGCCAGATCTCCTCGTGCAGGCTGCCCTGTAGGAAGGCTGTGCTGAAGTCAAGCGAGTGGAGCTCGTAGTCACGCTGAGCAGCAACGTGCAGCAGTACCCGAAGAGTGGTCATCTTCGGGGTAGGGGAGAAGGTCTGAAAGAAGTCAACTCCCTGTCGCTGACTGAAGCCACGTGCAACGTAACGCGCCTTGAAGGCAGGCGGAGAACCCGGCGGCCGCTTCACCCTGAAGATCCACATGCCACTGACGATGTTCGCCCCAGGTGGGGGAACCTCGTCTACGTAGGTGCCTGTGGACTTCCAGGAAGCCATCTCTGCGTCCATGGCTGCCTGCCAATGGGAGGAGTAGGGACCCTCTATCGCCTCTGCGTAAGAGCGCGGGGTCGGGATGTCTAGTGCATCCGGGTCTCCCTCAGGGGCAAGCAGCATGGACACGAGATGAGGTGAAGCAGCAGCAAAGCACTCAAGGTCCTCCTGCCTGTCCTCAAGGACGTCCGTGCCAAGAGCACACTCACCCCCGACGGACGGAGGACAGACAGACACAGACGCAGACTCAGCAACAAGACGAGCGGCGTAGTCTAGGCGACAGGCTGCAGCAAAGTCAACAAGCTCAGCAACAAGAGCAGACGCAGCAGAGGACTCAAACAGAGGGTCAGTGACAGCAGTGGCCAGAAAGCGCGTGACAGTAGGACTAGCAGCACGAAGGGAGTCAGACTCCGGGTCCGACTCAGGAAGAGAGGACGCAGGAGGAGAGGGCAGAGGGACACGCTGTGGAGTAGTGGAAGGACGCAGAGTCATAGAGTGAGTGCCAGGGACAGGAGGAAGACGCGGACGCGAAACACGACCAGCGCGAACAGAACGGACAGGCGACGTAGAACGAGACGCAGGCGACACAGGACGCGACTCATGTCAGAGGTCCACTGGTGATCCCCGATTGATCCTAGGGAAGGGTTACAGGCTCGTTGTCCTGGGGGGTT